CTGGGATTACAGGCGTGAGCCACCGTGCCCAGCCTGTCTCTTTTTTATTTTTATTTTTTAAGGAAGTGAGTCAAATACTGCTTAGTTAAAATCAGCCCTTCCAGGCTGGGCACGGTGCCTCATACCTGTAATCCCAGTATTTTGGGAGGCCAAACAGGAGTTTGAGACCAGCCTGGGTGACAGAGAAACCCCATCCCTACAAATAATTTAAAAATTAGCCAGGCTTTGAGGCCTACCCCTGTGGTCTCAGCTACTTGGCAGGCTGAGGTGGAGGTCCAGATGGTGAGCCATGATTCGATCACTGCACTCCAGCCTGAGCAACAGAGCAAGACCCTGTCTGAAAAATAAAATTAAATTTAAAAATTAATGATTCCAGACAAGCCATATACCTTGAGACTGGGCAGTTAAGTGGGAAGAGTTAACTGTTGGACCCTGCTAAGTTCTAAATTCCCAGAAGCCTTTCTCAAAGTCTACAGAGTAGACATCAGCAATGCCAAGAAGTTTGTAATCCGTGGGAGAGAGGAATTCCACATCAAGGACCAGTCAGGGGCCACAGAGTTTTCCTGAGGTCATCTCATGACTCCACAGCTAAACCCACATTCCCTTCTGCCATCTGTGTTAACAAGGACAGATTGACTTCGGGGCATCTATCAAACCCTCTGGACCTCAATTTCCTCAAATTAAAATTCCCACACTTTGTTCTGAATCCTGATTGAGATATGGTTTATGTGAATCTATACATGTGTTAAAATGCATAGAACTGTACATCAGAAGAAAAGAAGTCAAATGTTCCTATATGATCATTTAAAAACTTAAAAAAGGGGCCGGGCACGGTGGCTCAAGCCTGTAATCCCAGCACTTTGGGAGGCCGAGGTGGGTGGATCACGAGGTCAAGAGATCGAGACCATCCTGGTCAACATGGTGAAACCCCATCTCTACTAAAAATATAAAAAATTAGCTGGGCATGGTGGTGTGTGCCTGTAATCCCAGCTACTTGGGAGACTGAGGCAGGAGAATTGCCTGAACCCAGGAGGCGGAGGTTGTGGTGAGCCGAGATCGCGCCATTGCCCTCCACCCTGGGTAACGAGTGAAACTCTGTCTCAAAAAAAAAAAAAAACTTAAAAAAAATCTGATGTTTAAGGATCATGTGAGAATTAAATAAGAAGCCCTTTATACAGCATCCTTGTTTACCTCCAGCATCCAGTACAAAGCCTAGCCCACAGTAGACATTCACCAAGTCATGTATTTGATGAATGAATGAATGAATGAATGAATGAATATGGAAAAGAGCCGAGTGCTGACCCCAAACAGGCACTCAATAGTTGTTCATTTCCATCCCCTTCCCTTTAGTCATTTCGGATAACAGGACATAGTGCAAATGTTCAGAAAATACTAACAGCTTGCTCATTTCACTTGGGGAACTTTTCACTTAAGGGGAAAGAAAAGTCAGCTTCTGGCAGCATGCTTTGATTAATAATAAATAGGAGCTGTATTTGATATGGTCCTTACAACAACACAGAAAGCAAGGCATGGTACCTCTTCCTGCTTTATGGATTAGGAAAATGAGGCCCGAGGAGTTTAAGCCACCTCCTTAAATCACTCAATGTTAAGTGCTGGAGCCAGGAATCCAACCCAAAGTACAGAGGAGATATAGATAGATATAGACAGGTTAATCTATATCTACAGACATATGTGGGTAGATATATCTATATTGATCTATAGATAGATATAGTATTAGTTCATTCTCACACTGTAAAGGAATCCCTGGGCTGGGCGCGGTGGCTTTCGCCTGTAATCCCAGCACTTTGGGAGGCCAAGGCAGGTGGATCACCTGAGGTCAGGAGTTCGAGACCAGCCTGACCAACATGGTGAAACTCTGTCCCTACTAAAAATACAAAAAAAATTAATCGGGCATGGTGGTGTACACCTGTAATCCCAGCTACTCGGGAGGCTGAGGTAGGAGAATCACCTGAACCCAAGAGGTGGAGGTTGCAGTGAACTGAGATTGTGCCACTGCATTCCAGTGCGGGTGACAAGAGCAAAACTCCATCTCAAAAAAATAAAAATAAAGAAAAAGAAAAGAAAAAGAAAAATTCCTGAGACTGGGTAATTTATTTTATCTTTTATTTTACTTTAGGTGTATACTATATCCAGCATTTCTTCCCATGTTATCCCTCCCCACCCTCCCCACTCCCCGCTGTCCCTCCCCTACCCCCCACAACTACCCCCAGTGTGTGATGCTCCTCTCCCTGAGTCCATGTGTTCTCATTGTTCAACACCCACCCACATGAATGAGAACATGTGGTGTTTGTTTTTCTGTTCTTGTGTCAGTTTGCTGAGAATGATGGCTTCCAGATTCATCCAAGTCCCTACAAAGGACACAAACCCATCCTTTTTTATGGGTGCATAGTATTCCATGGTGTATATGTACCACATTTTCTTTGTCCAGTCTATCATTGATGGGCATTTGGGTTGGTTCCAGGTCTTTGCTATTGTACACAGGGCTGCAATGAACATATATGTGCATTTGTCTTTATAGTAGAATGATTTATAGTCCTTTGGGTATATATCCAGTAATGGGATTGCTGGGTCAAATGGAATTCCTATTTCTAGATCCTTGAGAAATCGCCACACTGTCTTCCACAATGGTTGAACTAATTTACACTCCCACCTACTGCGTAGGAGTGTTCCTATTTCTCCACATCCTCTCCAGCATCTGTTGTCTCCAGATTTTTTAATGATCACCATTCTAACTGGCATGAGATGTTATCTCAATGTGGTTTTGATTTGCATTTCTCTAATGACCAGTGATGATGAGCATTTTTTCATATGTTTGTTGACCTCATATATGTCTTCTTTTGAAAAGTGTCTGTTCATATCCTTTGCCCACTTTTGAATGGAGTTTTTTTTTTCTTGTATATCTGTTTTAGTTCTTTGTAGATTCTGGATATCAGCCGTTTGTCAGATGGGTAGATTGCAAAATTTTTTTCCCAGTCTGTTGGTTGCCAGTTCACTCTAATAATGGTTTCTTTTGCTGTACAGAAGCTCCGAATTTTAATTAGGTCCCATTTGTATAGTTTGGCTTTTATTGTCAATGCTTTTGGTGTTTTAGTCATGAAGTTCTTGCCTATGCCTATGTCCTGGATGGTTTTGCTTATGTTTTCTTCTAGTGTTTTTATGGTGTTAGGTTTTATGTTTAAATCTTTAATCCATCTGGAGTTAATTTTAGTGTAAGGTGACAGGAAGGGGTCCAGTTTCTGCTTTCTGCACATGGTTAGCCAGTTTTCCCAACACCATTTAATAAATACGGAGTCCTTTCCCCATTGCTTGTTTTTGTCAAGTTTGTCAAAGATCAGATGGCTGTAGATGTGTGGTGTTGATTCTAGGGCTTCTGTTCTGTTCCATTGATCTATGTCTCTGTTTTGGTACCAGTACCATGCTGTTTTGATTACTGTAACCTTGTAGTATAGTTTGAAGAGACTGGGTAATTTATAAAGAAAAAAGGTTTAATTGGCTCACAGTTTCAGTTCCACAGGCTGCATGAAGCATGGCTTATCTGCTTCTGGGGAGGCCTCAGGGAGCTTTCACTCATGGCAGAAGGCAAAGTGGAAGCAGGCATCTTACATGGCAGGAGCAGGACCAAGAGAGAGGGAAAGGTTGCTGTGCACTTTTAAACAAACAGATTCCATGAGAACTCACTATCACGATGACAGCTCCAGGGTGTCAAACATGAGAAAACATCCCCATGATCCAGTCACCTCCCAGCAGGCCTCACCTCCAGGATTGGGGGTTATAGTGCAACATGAGATTATAGTGGGTACACAGATCCAAACTGTATCGTATAAATTTATATAGCCACATAAATACATGTTATATATAAAACACACATGTATTATGTATGTATATAATACATATTATGTATATGTATTATATGCCTGTAATACACATGTATATTACACATGTACACATACATATTTACATACATGATAAATATATATTTTATACAAATACATATGTATTGCATATGTATATAATATATTATTTACACACACACACACACACACACACACATATTCTGCCAAGGTTGCACAAGTAAACACAAGGTACCTGTGGGCTCAACAGAAGCAATTTCTTCTAGGTTTTTCCACAGGGAGGGGCAGGGAGAGTTACCTGGCTGATTTCCTATGATCACCAATTAATTCAGCCCACATTGACCAAATGTCTTCTCCATGCCCAGCACCGCGCTAAGTGGTGTGTGTACTGAGTCCCATCAGAGTTGACCCTCTCCTTGGTCAACCTGAGCAATGGAAACTGAACATTCATCCCAGTGCCCTGGGTTAACATTTGCTGGGGCATCATCCAGTTACTGGTATTTACCAAAGACAGAGCTTATTTCAAATGACCCACTCCCTTCACTGGGAGCCAGAGTGAAGGAGGCTGGGCAGGAAACCAGCCAGGCTAGCTGGAGCCCACCAGCATGGCCTTGGGTCTGGCCCTATGTTAATCCACCAGTTCCTGCAGCCCTAATCAGGTCCTGAGGGACCAATTTATTCTAAGTAATCAACAAGAATGGAAATAATGAAACAGGAAACTAATATGTTCGTTTATAAGGCAATTCCTTGAGTCCAGTAGCAACACGATTACTGCTGCTGTGCTATTGTTCTCTCCTGAGGCAAGTCGAGACCACTGTATAAGCTAAAGTTTGCTCAGAACGTAGAAAGACCACAAAGGGACCTGGGAATTACTTAGACGGAGGCAAGTGGTATAGTAAAAAGACGGTGGCCAGATGAAATTGGCTGGAAATCGTGGCTCCAGCACTTATTAACTATGTGACTTTGGGCATGTCCTTAAAGTCCGTGTCAGTTTCTCCACAAATAAAATGGGCACAGTAACACCTAACTCACACAGGTGTTTTAAAGAGTAAGTGAGATAATGTATGGAAAAGTCCAGGCACAAACTAGATATAACCAAGTGCTCACTTCCTTTTAACTATTTTTGTAGATAACTTTCAACTGCAAGGTGATGCATCATGTTAATTACTGAATATGGAAAATGTTTGATAAGCCAAAAGGAAAAAACTAAAATCTCCCACAATTCCATCAGCCAGAGATAACTGTGAGTAGCATTTTAGTATTTATCCCTCCAGGCCTTTTTATGTGTTATTATTCTTAAAAACAAAAACAGGATCCTATTCCCATGGTGTCTTAAAACCCACTCTTTTAACTTAAGACCATATGTTATCATCTCACAACCTCACATCCTCTATGGCATCATTAAAAAGAAAAAGTCGCCGGGCGCGGTGGCTCACAATCCCAGCACTTTGGGAGGCAGAGGCGGGTGGATCATGAGGTCGAGAGATCGAGACCATCCTGGTCAACATGGTGAAACCCCGTCTCTAGTAAAAGTACAAAAAATTAGCTGGGCGTGGTGGTGCGTGCCTGTAATCCCAGCTACTCAGGAGGCTGAGACAGGAGAACTGCCTGAACCCAGGAGGCGGAGGTTGCGGTGAGCCGAGATCGTGCCACTGTACTCCAGCCTGGGTAACAAGAGCGAAACTCCGTCTCAAAATAAATAAATAAATAAATAAATAAATAAATAAATAAATAAATAAATAAATAAAAATAAAAAGTCTAACATAGTGACCCATGATATGGCCATATCATATATATATATAGACACAGAGTCTCGTACTGTCACCCATGCTGCAATGCAGTGGCATAGTCTTGGCTCACTGCAGGCTCCAGCTCCCAGGTTCAAGCAATTCTCCTGCCTTGGCCTCCTGAGTAGCTGGGATTATAGGCATGTGCCACCATACCTGGCTAACTTTTGTATTTTTAGTAGAGATGGGGTTTCACCAAGTTGGCCAGACTGGTCTTGAACTCCTGACCTCAAGCAATCTGCTTGCCTCACCCTCCCAAACTGCTGGCGTGAAGCACCACATCCAGTCTTATTATATATTTTTTCAGACAGGGTCTCACTCTGTCACCCAGGTTGGAGTGCAGTGGCATGATCATAGCTCACTGCAGCCTCAACCTCTAGGGCGCAGGTGACGCTCCCATCTCGGCCTCCCAGGTAGCTGAGACTACAGGCGTGCATCACCACACTCAACTAATTTTTTAAAAAATTTTTATAGATTCAGGATCTCTCCATGTTGCCCAAGTTGGTCTTGACCTCCTGGGCTCAAGGGAATCCACCTGCCTCAGCCTGGTAAACTCTTCATGATCCTGTGCCTAGTCATCATCGTTTATTTAACCAGCTTCGTATTTTTGAGGAGTGTCTCCGTTATAAACAGTGCAAAAGTGAACAACTTAGAAGCTGAGCAACTTTTTTTTTTTTTTTTTTTTGAGACAGAGTCTTGCTCTGAAGCCCAGGCTGGAATGCAATGACGCGATCTCAGCTCACTGCAATCCTCCACCTCCCAGGTTCAAGTGATTCTCCTGCCTCAGCCTCCTGAGTAGCTGAGACTATAGGCACCCACCATCATGCCAGGCTGATTTTTGTATTTTTAGTAGAGACAGGGTTTTACCACCTTGGCCATCTTGGTCTCAAACTCCAGACCTCAGGTGATCCACCTGCCTTGGCCTCCCAAAGGGCTGGGATTACAGGCCTGAGCCACCGCACCCAGCCGTTAGCTGAGCAACTTCCATTACTTCCTAGTGTTAAATTTTCTGAAGGAGACTGGTTGGTTCATACTGACACACAGCCTTTCAAAAATTTCAGCCAGTTTCTGTTCCCACCTACCCAGCTCATTATCTTGATTGCAGGCCAACCCTGGGTTTTGTTTTGGTTTTTGTTTTCTATTCAGCAGCAATGCCCTCTGTTCTAGAGATATTTCTGTCCGAATACATAAATTTGGTGTCTGGGCCTCCTAAGGCCTCTTCCGCCCAATCTAATTCTGGAGACATAAGCTCTGGAGAAAATGGTCTCCTGCTAATTTCCCAGCCCAGGCACCAAGTCTTGTCTCAGAGAGGACCCATGATCAGTAATTCAATTCCCGCTTGTCTGCTACTGGCTACATTTCTCAAATGTCATTAGCCTCATTCACAAATCTTGTTGAAGGTGAGTTGTTTCTGCAGATAGCTAATATTTTCTATTTATGCTTCATTTCTGAGGGTAAGGGTCTCTGACACTGTCTTCAAGGGTAGACTGGGGAGGAACAATTTTATCAGAGCTGAAAGTAGGAAATTTGGTCCTTGGGACAAATAACAGGAAATGAGAGCTCAGATCAAAGAAAGGGCACCCTGAGGGAAGGGGATGTGGGACAAGCGAAGGCGTTGGTCACACATGTTCCTTGGCTCACTGGTCTGTGTCACTCCAACCTCACTGGCCTGTGTCACTCCACCTCTACTTTTCCAACTCCCCTGTCTTCTTTCCTTTATCAGGACCCTTGCAATTACACTGGGCCACCCTAGATGATCCAGGATAATCTCCCCATCTGAAAATCCTGAACTTAATCAGTTTTGCATTGTAAGGTTTCATATTTATAGGTTCTAGGAATTAGGATGTGGACATCTGGGGGATTATTATTCTGACCACCTCACCTGGGCAAGCCAGTCTCTGGCCTGAGTTTCCTTATCTGCAAACTGTGAGTCTCCAGCAAAAAAACTCTTCACGATCCCTTCCAGGTTTGGCTAGTGGAAATATTTTCAGTGAAATCCAGGGGAACACTATAGATATAGAAACCGTATTCAGTCTTTTATGGGTTTCTTTATTCCCTCCTCTAGAAGTATACTCTCTCATCTGCATGCTACCAGTGTCATTTGTATGTAAGCTTGTATTAATTGAAGGAGCTGGCATAGCAGGCTTACTATGTGCCAGGCCCTGTTCTAAGCCTTTTGCCCATCTGGAACCGTTGAACTTTCCATAATAGCCCTATGAACCAAGTACTATTGCTATCCTTATTTTATACAGGCACAGAGAGGTTAGATATCTTGCACAAGATCCCATAGTGGCAGGACTGAGGTTAAACTTCAGCTTTCTGGCTCCAGCATCTCTACTCTTAACCACTGGCCACCCAGTGTCTCATCAAAGCCCTTGACCACAGTCATGAGGCCATTGCTTAAGTCTCTTCTAAACTGTGGGCAACTCAAGAGCAGAAGCCTTGTCTAACTCTGTGAATCCCGGCTCTGATAACGGCCTAGCACACCAATAAACAGAAAAAGGATTAATGTACGAATGAATGAATATAAGCATGCTACTTATCTACTTTAGAGCTTCTTGATCAGGGCCATGATTGCAGGACATAATAATAAACATTTCTGGGACACTTCAAAAGAAAGCATACTCCTCCTGCCAGCATTGGGAAGGAGGCGTTATTATGATCGTCATGTTACAGACTAGTAAACTGCAACAGAAAGAAAGAAGCTAAGTAATGTGCCCATGGTCAGGAACTGGATTTGAGTTGAGATTTGCTTGACTTCCAAGCTTGCATCGTGGAGGTGAGCATGAACTCTCTGAGGGCTGCAATTTTTAAGTAAGAATCAAGTTTGACTCTGGACAGCTACAGAGAGGAATAAGATAAATGAACTTGATTTTTTTTTATTGCATTTTAGGTTTTAGGGTACATGTGAAGAACATGCAAGATTCTTGCATAGGTACACACATGGCAGTGTGATTTGCTGCCTTCCTCCCCATCACCTATATCTGGCATTTCCCCCATGCTATCTCTCCCCAACCCCCCATTCCCCCATTTTTTTTTTTTAAGATCAAGTTGCCCAGGCTGAAGTGCAATGGCGCACTCTTGGCTCACCGCAACCTCCGCCTCCCAGGTTCAAGCAATTCTCCTGCGTCAGCCTCCCAAGTAGCTGGGACTACAGGTGCACACCACCACGCCCGGCTAATTTTTGTATTTTTAAGTAGAGATAGGGTTTCACCATGTTGGTCAGTCTGGTCTTGAACCCCTGACCTCGTGATCCACCAGCCTCAGCCTCCCAAAGTGCTGGGATTACAGGCGTGAGCCACCACACCTGGCTGATAAATGAACATTTTACTGGACAACACGATATGCCAGGTCCTGGTGCCAGGTGCTTACATAACTCAGTCCACAGAACAACCTGCTTATTCCATTTCACAGATGAGAAAACGGAGGTTCAGAGAGAGACTAAGTGAGTTTCCCAAACTCTATCGGGACAGCCAAAACTAGATCTAACTCTGCAATTCATCAACTTTCCACTATTATTAAGCTGCTGAGCCTCAGTTCTCTCATTTGAAAAGATGAAGAGATCTTCACATGGTGAAGGGTTTCACCATGTCAGCCAGGCTGGTCTCAAACTCCTGACCTCGGGCGATCCACCTGCCTCGGCCTCCCAAAGTGCTGGGATTACAGGCATGAGCTACCACTCCTGGCCAGAACTTCACATTTATTATGTAATTTCATCCTCATAACAACCCCTGAGGTGCTATAGTATTATTATTATTTCTAGTTTACAAATAGAGAAACTGAGGCTCAGACAGGCATATGTTGTTACACAGCTACTCTGAGACCCAGACCAAGTTTAACTGAGGCTTGTTAGAGTCATAAGCCAAACTCTTGCCTATTTTCCTGTGCAGCCTCCAGCAGTCTGGCAGCCTTTGGAGTGAGGACATCCTGTGTTCCTCCAGAATCAGAACAAGGCTGGGATGGATGTGGGATGAGTTCCTCCGTGCGTGGGCCCCTCTTCCTTTGGATTTCAAAGACTCACTTCAGTGAAGTTCTGTCAAAGTCAAAAGGTGGCATTGAATGGATCGTCGGCCCAGGCTCAGAGTCCAGCCCTGGCACCTCAAGGGCTTGGCCATTTCCTCTGATCTTGTTATCAAGGCAACCCTGGATCCCTTTGTGGTTCTGTGGTTATTCTCCCTCTTGTTTCCTTGTCTTCCTACAGTTTCAAGAGGACGCTTTAGAGACAGCAGCTCCAAATGGCCTACTTGTCACTGATTGAAGAAGATGCTGACCTGAAATAAAAACAGTTCCTAGGACCCATCAAGGCCTCAACTAGAAAGGGGAATGCTCTGTAAACACCTTGAGGGCAGAGATTGTCTGGCTTATCACAGTGTACCCCAGTGCCTCACAGGATAACTGGAATGGGGTGTGGGGGGATCAATTAATGTTGAGTGAATGAATGAATGATCTGATTATGGAAAGGGGCTCCCTAAGCTTTTCAGGGGTTGAAAAACTTGGGCAGAGTGATGAGCTAAGATTTGTGGGTTTCGACCTCTGTATTGAGTCTTAGTTTGTTACAGGATGGTATTGGTGACCAACAAATATTCACCGGGTAATTGATCTTACTCTGTGTTTTATTTGTTCCTGCGTGCTTCAATCCCTTGGTTTACGAGCAATTTTGGCATTGTGATGGATTCTACAATTACAAGAACTTCTTGACTGCCCTCTAGTGGAAAAGATGAAGATGTGGCACTCAGAACAATACATTCACCTTTCCTGCTGATGTTGAAAGTGGCCCCCTTTTTTCTGATAACTCACTGGACTTTATATAATTCAAAATTGTGATTGTTCCAAATTTGGCAGTTCATCCTCAATTTACAGATAAAGTTGATGTGTAGAACAGTGCTTCTCAAATTGACCGGCAAAGGACCAGTTTTTAAAAAACGTTTAATCTAGGCCGGGCGCGGTGGCTCACGCCTATAATCCCAGCACTTTGGGAGGACGAGGTGGGTGGATTGCAAGGTCAAGAGATCAAGACCATCCTGGTCAACATGGTGAAACCCCGTCTCTACTAAAAACACAAAAATTAGCTGGGCGTGGTGGCACTTGCCTGTAATCCCAGCTACTCGGGAGGCTGAGGTAGGAGAATTGCCTGAACCCAGGAGGCAGAGGTTGTGGTGAGCCGAGATCACGCCATTGCACTCCAGCCTGGGTAACAAGAGAGAAACTCCGTCTCAAAAAAAAAAAAAATGTTTAATATGCAAACCAATCCATTGTACAATAAAAATGAATTATTAATACTGGACATATTACATTAAAAAACAAAGATATACAAAATTAAAATCAAATGTTATTATGAGATCCAACAGACAAAATTACATTTCAGTAATTATAATCAGAATAAACATAACATAGGAAAAAATAATTCCAAACTCTGTACATGTTCATTGAATGCGTGTATTATGTGATTAACCTATAAATTGCTATTTTGCATTCATAATTTTTGTTGTTCTGCAATTATAACTAAATGAAAATTATTATTAAAATGGTGTTTCTCTACTTTGAATGAACACTATGAATATCAATATTGAGCAATCTTTATTTATTTTTATTTTTTTAGACAGAGTGTCCCTCTTAGGCCGGGCGCGGTGGCTCAAGCCTGTAATCCCAGCACTTTGGGAGGCCGAGGCGGGTGGATCACAAGGTCAAGAGATCGAGACCATCCTGGTCAACATGGTGAGACCCCGTCTCTACTAAAAATACAAAAAATGAGCTGGGCATGGTGGCGCATGCCTGGAATCCCAGCTACTCAGGAGGCTGAGGCAGGAGAATTGCCTGAACTCAGAAGGTGGAGGTTGTGGTGAGCCGAGAACGTGCCACTGGACTCCAGCCTGGGTAACAAGAGTGAAACTCCATCTCAAAAAAAAAAAAAAAAAAAAAAATAGACAAGAGTGTCCCTCTGTTGCCTAGGATGGAGTGCAATGGTGCCATCTCGGCTCACTGTATCCTTTGCTGCTCGGGTTCAAGCGATTCTCCTGCCTCAGCCTCCCAAGTAGCTGGAATTGCAGGCACCTGCCACCTCACTGCTAATTTTTGTAGTTTTAGTAGAGATGGGGTTTACCCATCTTGGCCAGGCTGGTTTTCTGCCTCCATTCCTTCTCTGAGGCCAAGGACATCTGCACAGCCAAGCAGAGATGCAATGATCTCTGAGGGCAACCTTCAGTCAGTAGGAGATGGGAACTGGTGGATTAGAGCCTCTGTGTTCCTGTGCTTTGGTGGAACAATTCTGACGTATTGATACCGTTTGACTGTGTCCCCACCCAAATCTCATCTTGAACTGTATAGCTCATATAATTTTCATGTGTAACGGGAAGGACTTGGTGGGAAATAATTGAATCATCGGGGATGGGGGTTCCCCCATACTGTTCTCATGGTAGTAAATAAGTCTTATGAGATCTGATGATTCTTCAAGTGGTTTCCCCTTTTGCTTGGCTCTCATTCTTTCTTGTCTGCCACCATGTAAGACTTGCCTTTTGCCTTCCGCCATGATTATGAGATCTCCCTAACCACGTGGAACTGTGAGTCCATTAAACCTCTTTTTCTTTATAAATTACCCATTCTTGGGTATGTCTTTATAAGCAGCATGAAAACAAACAAATACAGGTATGTTGTGTTCATTTCGTCAGAAGTTTCCCTGTTGGATTGATTCCCAGTGCTCATGTGAGTAACCAGTCCAACAGAGCATAAGTTACTGGCTTTTCTCTCTTCCCTGTCTCACTCTTCCTACTCAATCACTGCTGCTCCCTCAGATTGCCTCCCATTTAAATCACCTGCACCTAAATCCTGACGTCAGCCTCCACTTATGGAGGAAACTAAAATAAAGTCCACGGGCAGCTGCCGAGTAACCTGCATGTTTCAGATTCCCTTCAATTAAGAAGACTCCTTTTAAACATCAAGATATTCATGGAGCCTGTCTTCGGCAACTAGCCATTGTGCTTTTGGTATTCATGCTTCATTCATTCAACAGGCACTTTTCTAAAGCCTGATAAAGTGCAGAATGCCGAAATGATACTGTGACATGTATTACTCTTGTGAAAGGGTGTGTATATATATATATGTGTGTGTGTGTGTATATATATATTTCTTATGACAGCATCTATTGAAAACAATGGTGTTTCTAGAGATCAAAGTAAAAATGATTTTCAAATATGTGAAAAGGTGCTAAACCTCACTCACAGGAATAACAATGCAAATTAAAAGACATTAAAATGCCATTTTCCATGTTTCAGATTCGCAAAGACCAAAAAGTTTGATAACATTGTGTTGGTTAGAATGTGGGAATCATTACTTTAATACATGATTATTGATCACCTATCATGAGTGTGTGCTGTGCACTGAGTAACCAGCAGTTAACAAAGTAAACAAAAATTCCTTCTCTCCAGGAGCACACATCCCAGTGGAGGGGTTGGTAGCGCAATCAGTGAAAATGACTCCCTGAGTCACACAATGAGTGCTCTGAAGAAAGACAAAGCAATATAAAATCTGCCGAGTGACCAAGGGGTGGTGGTACCTTAGGTAGGGTGGTCAGAGGAGATCTTCCTAATATGGGGACAATTGAGCAAAGGCCTGAATAAAGTCTTGGGGGTATTTCTCGCAGAAGTATTTTCCAGGCAGTGTGAAGTAGTCAGATGAAGACTTTCACAGATACCAGTAATAAAAACTGGATCCAATGTTAAGCAATGGTTTCTTAGAGAGGAAAACCACAACAACCAAAAGGGAAAAACAGATAAATTAGACTATGTTAAAATATAAAATGTATGTGCTTCGAAGGACATTATTAACAAAGTAAAAAGACGATCCACAGAAATGGGAGGATATATTTGCAAATCATGTATCTGATAAGGGTCTAGTATCAGAACATATGAAGAATTCTTGCAACTCAACAATAAAAAGATAAATAACCTAAATTTTAAAACGGGCAAAGTCTGGGCACAGTGGCTCACATGTGTAATCCCAGCACTTTGGGAGGCTGAGGCAGCTGGATCGCTTGAGCTCAGGAGTTTGAGATCAGCCTGGGCAATGAGGTTTCACCTCATCTCTACAAAAAATACAAAAAGTATCTGGGTGTGATGGCATGCGCCTCTAATCCCAGCTATTCAGGAGCTGAAGTGGAAGCACTGCTTAAACCCAGGAGGTGGAGGCTGCAGTGAGCTGCGACTATACCACTGCACTCCAGCCTAGGTAACGGAGCAAGAGCCTATCAAAGAAAAAGAAAAGGAGAGGAAAGGAGAGGAGGGGAGGGCAGGTGAAGGGAGGAGAGGAAACTGACATATGCTACAACGTGAATGAGTCTTGAAAACATTATGTTATGTGAAAGAAGTCAGACACAAGGCCAGGCGCAGTGGCTCATTCCTGTAATCCCAGCACTTTGGGAGGCCAAGGTGGGTGGATCACCTGAGATCAGGAGTTTGAGACCAGCCTGGCCAACGTGGTGAAACCCCGTCTCTACTAAAAATGCAAAAATTAGCTGGGCATGGTGGTAGGTGCCTGTAATCCCAGCTACTCAGGAGGCTGAAGTAGGAGAATTACTTGAACCCAGGAGACGGAGGTTGCAGTGAGCCAAGTTTGCACCACTGCACTCCAGCCTGAGCAGCAGAGCGAGACTCCATCTCAAAAAAAAAAAAAAAGAAAAAGAAACAGGCCAGGTGTAGTGGCTCACGCCTGTAATCCAAGCCCTTTGGAGGCTAAGGCGGGCAGATCAACTGAGGTTGGGTGTTCAAGACCAGCCTGACCAATATGGTGAAACCCCATCTTAAAAAATAATAATAAAATAATTTTAAAAAGCCGGGCGCTGTGGCTCACACTTGTAATCCCAGCTCTTAGGGAGGCAGAGGCAGGAGGATAGCTTGAGCCCAGGAGTTTGAGACCTGCCTGGGCAATATAGCAAGACCCCGTTCTCCACAAAAAGGAAAAAAAGACTAATGATAATAATAAAAGAAACAAAAAACAAAGAAGTTAGACACAAAAGGCCACATATTTTGTGAATGAATTTATATGGATTATCAAGGCTGTGGGGATTTGGTACAACTATAAGAGCAATATATGGGGAATATGGAGGATTACCAAGGTTTATTCAGGCAATTATTTTTCCAGTGATCAGATTTTCATAATAGTTGCAATTTTCTTACTGTGATTATCTCTTTGGAGAGACAATGCTTATACCCCCTCTACGGGTATAAGAGTTTGGTCTTTAGCTTTTAGGGAATGTTTAAGGTTATCAACAATGTGGTCTCTCTAACTTTTTTTAATTCTCAAGATCCTTATTCAGAAAAATAATGCAAAACTTGGAAGAAGCACAACAAAAATTTGCATGACCTTTCAGTATAATTAATGACTCAGTATTCACAACTGCTTAAGGCCCAGATGGTTTACAATGCTATAGAAACTGCAAGAAAACTGATAAGATATGATGAATTTTGATGCTTAGAAAAAGATAACCTTAAAGGTTGTAGTTTATCACCTTGCAGAATATTTACTAGTTTGTGTCTAACCTAGGAATAGTATCTCAGCACTTTTTTTTCTAATGCTCATATACATTTCAGTTTCTTACATTCTCTAGTAAACGAGCTTTGTCATTTTAGTGATTTCCTCGTTAATAAGTTAAATCAAACTATGACACATGCTTATGTGAGAATTGAGTTTTTTTAAAATAAAGATTTGAAGATTATGGTGACACAAAGTTAATTTTAAGTAGAGAAGCAAAATGAAGGTTATTGAGAGTTTTTAGGCACTTCTTTTTAAAATTACTGGTTTTTCCAATATTGACAATTTTCCTGGCATCATTCCATGGAGGGCTGAGGACCTGTATTTCCTGTGAGGTAGAAGGGTCTGGTCTTTAGTTTGGGGGGCTTATTACAAGTATCTGAAAAGGCTTCTTTGTAAGGTTTTTCTCTGAAGTCCCAAAAGAGGCTTTGCAACATCTCCTAGGTATTTCTCTTCTGTGAGAGAAGCGGTGAAAGAGTTTGTCTCTCTTTCCTAAATCTCATCTTCTCACAAATATTCTGCTTCCATGTTTCAGGATGAGAGTGCTCTACGTTTTCTCTTGGGTGATTTGATGGTCCCAGGCATCACCAAGACAAAACTATAATTTGTGAACATCTCTAGGCTGTCAGTTCTATCTCTTGGGTACCATGAGGCACCATGAGAATTGAATAGGAACTGGGCAATAGTGAGGTATTTCTTTCTTATTTATGAGACTGGGAAGTATCCATAGAAAGTTTTCTAGCCTGCCAGGTGCGGCAGCACTTTGGGAGACTGAGGTGGGTGGATCATCTGAAGTCGGGAGTTTGAGACCAGCCTGACCAACGTGGACAAACCCCGTCTCTAAAAATACAAAATTATCCAAGTGTGGTGGCGCATGCCTGTAATCCCAGCTACTCAGGAGGCTGAGGCAGAGAATCACTGGAACCCAGGAGGCAGAGGTTGCAGTGAGCCGAGATTGCACCATCGCACTCCAGCCGGGGCCACAGGAGTGAAACTCCATCTCAAAAAAAAAAAAAAAAGGAAGAAAGTCTGTCTTGCCTGAGAATAAAAATGGATAGGGTAAACATAAGAAAAAAAAAGAGGCTGGGCGTGGTGTCTCATGCCTGTAATCCAAGCACTTTGGAGGCCAAGGCGGGCGGATCACCTGAGGTTGGGAGTTCAAGACCAGCCTGACCAACATGGTGAAACCCTGTCTTAAAAAAAAAGAGAAAGAAAAAAAAGAGAGATAAAATATTTTTTAAGAGGTGGGGAGGAATAACAGATTGATAAAAAGATAAAATCAGTCCATGATCCCTTCCTGAGATGATAAAAGAAACTGAACTGAAAATAATTTAGAGATGGAACTTTCCCATGGAATCTCTTAGCAGTGGAGAGGAGATAAGGAGGGCAATGAGAAACTACGACATCAAGGTGCATCATATGTGCACTTCACCCTGTCCTGTCCCTCACCTTTGCTGTCTTTGGAGTTCTTATTGCACCAGATACTTTCCTGCACCAACAACGTTGTGTGAAAGAATCTACAGCCTCAGAATGTTTTTGAAATATGGCCAGAAGTCTGGGCACAGGTCACAGTCCTCTGCTCAGGTGGCATCAGACTGAAATCAAGGCGCAGCCAGGCTGCAGTTTTATCTGAGCCTCAGAACCTCTTCCAAGCTCCCTGGATTTGGCAGAATCCATTACTAGCAGTTGCAGAACGGTAGAACCTTTGAGACTCTAATGTCCCGAAAGAGGTCTTGCAACGTCTGCTAGCTATCCATGAGAGAAGAAATGAGTTTGTCTCTTTTTTCTAAATCTTTCCTTGGAGCCACCTGTCATTCCCTGCCACATGGCCTTCTCCACAACATGGCAGTTTGCTTCTTTAAGGCCAGGAGGAAAGCATCTCTGGCTTTGAATCTCTCTAACTTGACTTCCTTTCTGAAACCTTCTTTTAAAGGGATCACCTGATCAGGTCAAGCCCACTGAAGATAATCTCCCTCTTCATTAACTCAAAGTCACCTGATTAGGGATCTGAATGACATCTGCAAAGTCTCTTCACCTTTGCCACATATCAGTAACATAAGCTAATCACAGGAGTCATCCCCCATCAGAGTCACAGGTCTTAGCCACACTCAAAGGGAGAAGTATATACAGGATGTGCACCACAAGGGGGCAGACATCGTAGGTCCATGTTAGAATTCGGCCTGCCACAGAAGGTGAAGGAAAATATCAAATAGACGTAAGAGAGAAGAGACCTGCAGCCTCAGGAAGGGCAAGTGCAAAATCCCTGCAGAAGGAGACACCTGGTGCCCGTCAATGTGGCTAGAACTGAAGAGACGGTAGCAAGAGATGAGATCAGAGGGGTCAAAATGAGCTAGATTGTTTAGGATCTTACAGAACTTTTGTCTCTAAACGTATTATAAAAATGTTCAAAGTACAAAAAAGTTAAAAAATTTATTTTCTTTAGAGACTGAGTCTCACTGTATTGCCCAGGCCGGAGTGCAATGGTACAATCTTGGCTCACTGCAATCTCCTCCTCCTGGGTTCAAGCAATTCTCCTGCCTCAGTCTCCTAAGTAGCTGGGATTACAAGCACACACCACCACATCCAGCTAATTTTTGTATTTTTAGTAGAGACGGGGTTTCACCGTGTTGGCCAGGCTTGTCTCAAACTCCTGAGCTCAAATGATCTGCCTGCCTCTGCCTCCCAAAGTGCTGGGATTATAGGCATTGAGTCACCGCACCTGCCTTTTTTTTTTTTTTTTTTTTTTTGAGACGGAATCTCGAGCTGTTGCCCAGGCTAGATTAAAGTGGAATGATCTCAGCTCACTGCAACCTCTGCGTTCTGGGTTCAAGTGATTCTCATGCCTCAACCTCCCAAGTAGCTGGGATTATAGACGAGCACCACCACACCCATCTAATTTTTGTATTTGTAGTAGAGATGGGTTTTGCCATGTTGGCCAGGCTGGTATCAAACTCCTGACCTCAAGCAAATTGCCCACCTTGGCCTCCCAAAGTGCTGGGATTACAGGCGTGAGCCACTACACCTGGTCAAAATCATTTTTTTTTTTTAATTTTTTTTCTTTATTTATTTTAAAAAATTATTTTATTACTATTTTTAAACACGAGCTCTTGCTCTGTGCCCAAGCTGGAGTGCATAATGTAATCTCGGCTCACTGAAGCTGTGATCACTCCTGAGCTCAAATGATCCTCCCACCTCAACTTCTCAAGTAGCTGGAACTACAGACCAGAGCTGCCGTGCCTGGCTTCCTTCTTTCTTAAGCAACAGACTACGTTGCTAGTTGCTTCGAACTTTTCAGTTTCCAAGCCTCTCCACAATCACCACCACCTTTTTCTCACTCAGACTGAATTCTGCACCAGTAACGTCTTAAATTTGTATAACCATGGGGTTTAGGAGTTTTCCTACTTTTTAATTTGCTAGTAAAGGAATTGAGGAAATAAAGGGATATGATTTCCACGTGGCCAACAGGGAAATTGAAACTCAGAGTCATTCCGCCCATGGTTCTACAGCACAGCTGGTGACTGATCTGGGACCCGTTGCTGATTTCCAGGCTGGGGCTCTTTCACTAGGTAAGTGGCTTATCTGGTTTGCTTTTCTTGCCATTCCTCCCTCACCAAAAAGCAAGACTCCTGCTTTCATCTCCTGGGGAACAGAAAAGAAGGAAGGGAGAATTCTGCGGCTAATTACCCTGCAGAATTGTTTCCACCAGTAATTCCCCTGAATTAGCTGTCAGGGATTTCCTTAAATAGAATTGTTTTTTTTTTTTTAAGATGGAGTTTTATTCTTGTTGCCCAGGCTGGAGTGCAGTGATGTGATCTCGGCTCACCGCAACCTCCACCTCCCGGGTTCAAGGGATTCTCCTGCCTCAGCCTCCCAAGTAGCTAGGATTACAGGAATGCACCACCATGCCTGGCTAGTTTTATATTTTTAGTAGAGATGGGGTTTCTCCATGTTGGTCAGGCTGGTCTCGAACTCCTGACTTCAGGTGATCTACCTGCCTCGGCCTCCCAAAGTGCTGGGATTACAGGCATGAGCCACCTCGCCCTAGATAGGACTTTTAACACATACCACAGGCATATTCTCACTTCAGTGCCTTCACGTGAGTGGTTCTCCTCTGCTGAAATGCCTTCATCTGTCCTCTTCATGAACCCAAATCCATCCCAGTCTGCAGACATCTTCTATGTCACTTTCCTGCCTGACCCCACTTCACCCCACCAGGACTGTGACTCAACCATAGTGACCAAGAGTCTATGATGGGGCCAGTCATTGCTTCTAGGGTCTTCCACCTTCCTTATAGCATTTCAACCCACAGAAAACATGTGAAGCAGATGTTTTTATTCCCGTTTTAGAGCTGATGCAACCCAGGCTCAGGAAGGTTGAGAACTCCAGCTTCTTGACTGTCTTTTCTTTTCCCCATAACTCAAGGTGTTTTTTCCTCGTCAATGTCTTTTCCTTTAAAAAACATTCTAGGCCAGGCACGGTGGCTCAAGCCTGTAATCCCAGCACTTTGGGAGGCCGAGGCGGGTGGATCACGAGGTCAAGATATCGAGACCATCCTGGTCAACATGGTGAAACCCCGTCTCTACTAAAAATACAAAAAATGAGCTGGGCATGGTGGCATGTGCCTGTAATCCCAGCTACTCAGGAGGCTGAGGCAGGAGAATTGCCTGAACCCAGGAGGCAGAGGTTGTGGTGAGCCGAGATCACGCCATTGCACTCCAGCCTGGGTAACAAGAGCGAAACTCTGTCTCAAAAAGAGAAACAAAAAAACATTCTAGTTTTTCTGTGTACCATTCAGATGAACTACAAGAATTTTAGTTCCAACGTTAGGTAAGCCTCATGTAACAGTCTGCTGCAGGGGACAGGAGCGTGCACAGAATTGAATAATTTCCACTTAGGATTTTAAATAAAGTTTGCCAAAAACATATTATATTGCAAGCATCCAAGTTACTAGATGTCCTGAATGAGAGGTATAGGGTTCAAGGTCCTGGCCCCACTGGAAGTTCAAAAATCACTGACGTGGCAGATTAATAAGAGAAAAGGCATACAAATTTATTTACTGAGCACATGCTCAGGCAGAATCACAGAGTAACTGCACATCTCTTAAAAGGCTTCAGAAGCTCTTCCAAAATTCTTTTTTTTTTTTTTTTTTTTTTTTTTTGAGACAGAGTTTCGCTCTTGTTACCCAGGCTGGAGTGCAATGGCGCAATCTTGGCTCACCGCAACCTCTGCCCCCTGGGTTCAGGCAATTCTCCTGCCTCAGCCTCCTGAGTAGCTGGGATTACAGGCACGCGCCACCGTGCCCAGCTAATTTTTTGTAATTTTTAGTAGAGACGGGGTTTCACCATGTTGACTAGGATGGTCTCAATCTGTTGACCTCGTGATCCACCCTCCTCGGCCTCCTAAAGTGCTGGGATTACAGGCTTGAGCCACCGCGCCCGGCCCCTTCCAAAATTCTTAACTGAGTTTTGAGAAATGCATAAACCGTAGAATCTAAACCTCTATAAAGATACAGAACTTTATCATCATCCCCCAGAAAATTCCCTATGTTCCTTCCTGGTTCTCTCCAACTCTCCGTGAAGCAATCACTTTTCTGATTTTTTCTTTTCTTTTCTTTTCTTTTTTTTTTTGAGATGGAGTTTTGCTCTTGTTACCCAGGCTGGAGTGCAATGGTGTGATCTCGGCTCACTGCAACCTCTGCCTCCTGGGTTCAAGCAATTCTCTTACCTCAGCCTCCCAAGTAGCTGGGACTACAGGCTAATGCCACCATGCCCAACTAATTTTTTTGTATTTTTAGTAGAGACAGGGTTTCACCATGTTGACCAGGATGGTCTCGATCTCTTGACCTTGTGATCCACCTGCCTCGGCCTCCCAAAGTGCTGAGATTACAGGTGTGAGCCACCGCATCCGGCCTGATTTTTCTTAACCTATATGCCCTCATTATCAGACAGAGCTGATTTTTTTCCACCATAGATTTGTTTAACTCGATCTAGAACTTAATATACATAGAATTATACAGTAAGTATTCATCAGGGGAAGGCTGTTTTCACTCAGTATGATATATATACTTTTTTCCTTTTTGTGGAGATTGGGGTCTTGCTATGTTGCCCAGGCTGGTCTCAAACTTCTGAGCCCAAACATTCCTCCCGCCTCTGCATCCCTAAGTGTTGGGATTGCAGGCATCAGTTACCACCCAGGCCACACCCAGTATAATATTTTGGAGAGTCAGCCATATTACCACATGTGTCTGTAGTTCACTTTTTTTTCTTTTGAGATGGAATCTCACCCTTGTTGCCCAGGCTGGAGTGCAATGGTACAATGTTGGCTCACTGCAACTTCCGCCTCCTGGGTTCAAGCGATTCCCCTACCTCAGCCTCCCAAGTAGCTGGGATTACAGGCATGCACCACCACACCCAGCTAATTTTATCTTTTTAGTAGAGATGAGGTTTCGCCATATTGGTCAGGCTGATCTTGAACTCCTCACCTCAGGTGAGCCACCTGCCTTGGCCTTTCAAAGTGCTGGGATTACAGGTGTGAGCCACTGCCCCCGGCCTGTAGTTCACTTCTTTATATTTTCGAAGTATAGCTATACCTCAATTTATTGACTGAATCATCTGTGGATGGACATGTGTGTTGTTTCCAGTTTAGGGTCATTATGAATAAAGCTGCTATAAATATTTTTATATAGGTCCTTGTGGACGTATAATTTAATCTTGAACAAATACCTAGGTCACAGAGTAGGGGATGATTAATTTTATAAGAAACTAAAGCCGGGCGCAGTGGCTCACACCTGTAATCCCAAGACGTTGGGAGTCTGAAGCAGGTGGATCATGAGCTCAGGAGTTCAAGACCAGCCTGGCCAACATGGTGAAGCCCTGACTCTGCTAAAAATACAAAAAATTAGTCGGGTGTTGTGCCATGCACCTGTAATCTCAGCTACTCGGGCTGAGGCAGGAGAATCGGTTGAACCCAGGAGTTGGAGGTTGCATTGAGCCAAGATTGTGCCTACTCCAGCCTGGGCAAGAGGGTGAGACTCGGCCTCAAAAAAAAGAAAGAAACTAAAGCTTTTTGCAAAGTGATTGTCTCCTTTTGCATTCCCTGCATGAACTTATAAGAGTTTCACTTGTTCTGAGATCTTGCAGACATTTAGTATGGTCAGTATTTTTAATTTCAGCTATTCCAATGGGTGTGTAGTGGTATAGAAACAAATCTTAACTGTGTTGAATTTTAAAATGTTCAGAGATTTTGGGGTCTTGAAAGTTGTCTGCTTGGAGAGCATTGAAAAAAGAGCTAAGCTATATTTGGTGAAAAGTATGAAATGTGAAGTTGTTTCTTAGTAAATGTGGAAATCATGTGTTGTTTGTTTTTTAGCCAGAAAAACAGGTAATACAATATCTGCATTAAGTGTTTTTGAAACAACAACCGGCCGGGTGCGGTGGCTCACACCTGTAATCCCAGCACTTTGGGAGGCTGAAGCGGGTGGATTATGAGATAAAGAGATTGAACCATCCTGGCCAACATGGTGAAACCTGTCTCTACAAAAAATACAAAAATTATCTGGGCTTGGTGACGTGCGCCTGTAGTCTCAGCTACTCAGGAGGCTGAGGCAGGAGAATCGCTTGAACCAGGGAGGCTGAGGTTGCAGTGAGCTGAGATTGTGCCACTGCACTCCAGCCTGGGTGACAGAGTGAAACTCCCTCTCAAAAAAAAAAAAAGAAAAAAAAAAAGAAAAAATGTGTTGTTATATGGCAAAGGCCTGAGGTTAGAGTCAGAGTCTTTAACTCTTCCTGTAGTTTCCTACAGAAAAGGGAGCCAAGCACCGCAGCTCATCCCCGTTATCCCAGCACTTTGAGAGGCCAAGGTGGGCTAAGGAGTTCTAGACTAGCCTGGGCAACATGGTAAAACCTTGTCTCTACCAAAATATAAAAATTAGGCATAATGGTGTGCACCTGTAGTCTCAGCTACTCTGGGGGCTGAGTTGTGAGGATGGCTTAAGCCCAGCAGGTGGAGGTTGCAATGAGCCGAGGTAGTACCACTGCACTCCAGCCTGAGAAACACAGCTAGAACTCATCTCAGGAAAAAAAGAAAAAAAAAAGTGTGTAGGGAGTGGACGAACCTCCCTCCTCTTAATAACTTGTTTTTCACATTTCATTGCTTTCTCCCAAAAATACTCATACTAGATTACAAAATATTTTAAATCATAAAAGATATTTTAAACCAGAAAACATATTAGCTAACGTTATTGTTAAATAATGTACTTTTGTGTTTAACTTTTTTTTTTTGAGACGAAGTTTCACTCTTGTTACCCAGGCTGGAGTGCAATGGTGCCATCTTGGCTCACCACAACCTCCGCCTCCTGGGTTCAAGCAATTCTCCTGCCTCGGCCTAGGAGTGCCCCCACATGCTCGGCTAATTTTTTGTATGTTTAGTAGAGACGGGGTTTCACCATGTTGACCAGGATGGTCTCGATCTCTTGACCTTGTGATCCACCCGCCTCGGCCTCCCAAAGTGCTGGGATTATAGGGGTGAGCCACCGTGCCCGGCCTTTTGTGTTTAACTTTCTAGGATACAGTTACTACTGAATAAAATATTGGGAATTTGGAACATAGCATAGTTGATTCTATGCCAGAATTTGGATTTCTGCATTAACCTAAATAGCTCAAGCTTTGTGTAAAGACGATCTAAACCTGAGATTTCAATAGCGCATTTGAAATTATAATGTATTTCAATTATATACAGCACTGTTATAGTTTATAAAATGGTTCAAGAATGACTTAGATAATTTATACATTATAATTTGTGCATGGTCTAAATATTGTTGTGGTTCAAAGATTCACTGTTGAAATCTTGTCCTAGGTTTTTCCAGCTTTATTAAGATATTTTCGCATACAATAAAATTTACCCATTTAAAGTATGCAGTTGAGTTGTTTTCACTATATTCAAGAAGTCATGCAATCATTATTACAATATAATTTTAGGATATTTTCAACACTCCCTTACCTCCCCTACAAGAAAACCTGTATTCCATTTTCAAACCTTCCCTTCCAATCCCCAGCCCCAGGCAGCCACTGACCTGTTTTCTGTCTCTGTGGATTTTTCGATTCTGGATGTTTCATATAAATGGAATCATGCAATATATGCTCTTTCGTGACTGGATTTTTTCACTTAGCATAATATTTTTAAGGTTCATTCATTTGGTAGCATATTTTAGTACTCTTTTTTATTTGTGAATAATGTTTCATTATATGGCTAAACCACATTTTGTTTACCCATCTATCAATTGATGGGCATTTAGGTTTTTTTATGGTTTAGCTATTATGAATAATGATGCTATGGACAGTCATATACAAATTTTTGTGTGAAAGTATGGTTTCATTTCTCTTGGATATTGTAGGGGCCAAAGGAAAACTTTCCCTTCATTATCTAAAGATTTGCTGAAAAATCAACTGACAAAAGGCAGATTAATAAGAGAAAAGGCATAAAAAAATTTTATTTTAACATGCATGGCATAGGGGAATTGCAAAAGAATGATTACCCAATAACCCAGTGCTGTGTAGTAGATTATGTACTCTTTTTTTCCCTAGGGGAGGGGAAGATGGAAAATGTAGACAATTCTTTGGAGGAACAGTAAATAATCAGGGAGAACAAATGGAGGCAGATAGAGGAAGTAGAGGTGGAGCTGCACAGGACAAAGGTTGCCTTCTTATGCAGACAGTGCCTCCCAGGTAGCCTCTGGGAGCTGCCCTCAGCATGGTGATGACTCCTCATCTCTCCTCTTCTCCAGTGGTTGATCCTTCCTGGTTATTTAATGAGATTCCTACAAAAGGGATTTAAGACAATTATATTTCTTTTCTTTTCTTTTTTTTTTAAGACAGCGTTTCACTCTCGTTGCCCAGGCTGGAGTGCAATGGCACGATCTTGGCTCACTGCAACCTTCACCTCCTGGGTTCAAGGGGTTCAAGCGATTATCCTGCCTCAGCCTCCTGAGTAGCTGGGATTACAGGCATGCACCACCATGCCTGGCTACTTTTTGTATTTTTAGTAGAGACAGGGTTTTTCCATGTTGGTCAGGCTGGTCTCGAACTCCTGACCTTAGGTAATCCACCCGCCTCAGCCTCCCAAAGTGCTGGGATTACAGGTGTCAGCCACTGCGCCCAGCCAATAATTAGGTTTCTTTCGGAAAGAAGCTTTCTTGGTCAGATAAGGGAATTCCAAAGAGAGCCTCTCCTGAGCTGGGAGGGGAGGGGACAAGACAAAGTTAGAAAAACCGTCTAAAAAGTTGTTTATCTGACCTTTCAAGAAATAGAGAGAGAAAATAGCCAAATCCCAAACAGGCCTGTTTTAGCCAGCATGATTAGGAAGCTTCCTCTGCTTTAACCTTTACAAGGAGAGCAACTTTGAAACAACCGTGCTTTGTTTTCTTCAGTTTTCCTTAGCCCTTTTCTACCTAGAAAGCCATGATCCTCTGCTCAACTCACCAGCTGATCTTTTTCATAGAATGGGGTATTGCCTGATTCTAGAATCACAAGTAAAGCCAATTAAGATCTTTAAACTAAATTTGTTATAATTTTGTCTTATGATTGTTTAAGTCTATGACCCATAGGGGTTTGTGGCTATGGCTCATTATCCTAGGAGTGAGATAAGTCAGCAGCCAGTGATGGTATGTATAGCTTCACTTATATTCCAAATTAGATTAGGCTTGGGCAAGCACAGGCTGATGTCAATCACCACAACGGAAAGTCTCAACCCCTCATCCAGTTTATGGATAGGAGGCAGATCTCACACCACAGCCCATCAACTCAAGAGGAAGCTGAGTCCTAAGGAAGGTGTATTTTCTCCTCACTTATATTCAGGATCATTTCCTTCAACCTGACCTTGAAACTTAACAGAGTAACTGAACCCTAGGAAAAAGGGAACACCAGTATCTTTTGAGTGCTGTTGGATATACAATCTGAGCTGACACTGAGCTCAAACATGTTTACGGCTCCCTTGATACAGTGGAGGTGTACAAAGGCACGTGATAAATGAAGTCCTGGCTCAAGTTTGTTTCACGTTGGTTGCACTGGGTCCATAAACCTATCCTGTGGCCATTTCTCTGACCAATGAGCACACAGCCAGGATGGATTTTTTGTTGTTGTTGGGGTCCGGCACGTCTGTCGGGGGACTACCGACCTGCAGGAGTCCCCGAGACCACCAACGTAGATGTCTCTTTCAACCTGAGGGAGAGAGTGCGCGGAAGTGAAAGAAAATAGAAAAGCGGAGTCTGGAGGGCTGGCTTAGGCTATGTCCAAGCAGCAATTTTATTTTTGCAATACGTTTCATTATATACTTTTCTGAAGTCAAAGTTGTTTACACCAGATCAATGTACTTAAGTAACAGTAAGCAAGTTATGCCCACTAAGTTACGCCCAGTAAGTAAGTTAAGTCCAGTAAGTAGGTTACGCTCAGTCAGTAGGTTACTTCCAGTAAGTAAGTTACGCCCAATAGGTCAAGGTAAGTAAGTTACAGTCATGCCCTGTAAGCTATGGTAAGTAAGTTACAGTTACACCCAGTAAGTTACAGTAAGTTACCAAGCGTAAATACTTAAGTTAATATTTTACAATGAAGATAACAAGGGTCCAAAATGAACACAATCAAGCAATAAACGATAAGGAGCCAAAAGTGGTCACAATGCCTTGCAAGTCCTCATATCCATAAAGTAAAGTCTGTTAATTATTTTGAATAACATATAGTTCCTCTCTCGGTTCCTGCTTTCCCTCAGCTCGACTCCCCCAACCAGGGATCTGTGTCTGGGCTCAAGCTCACCGTATGGGGAGGCCCATTTCCTAGGGGCCTCACACGGGAGCGATCCCCACAGATTCCCACATTTTTTCTCTTTTTTGAGACGGAGTCTCACTCTGTCACCCAGACTAAATGAAGGGAATAAAACCTTTTTTTTTTTTTTTTTTGGAGAGGGAATCTTGTTCTGTCACCCAGGCTGGAGTGCAGTGGCACAATCTCTGCTCACTGCAACCTCTGCCTCCTGGGTTCAAGTGATTCTTCTGCCTCAGCCTCCCAAGTAGCTGGGACTACAGGCCTATGCCACCACACCCTAATTTTTTTTATTTTTTAGTAGAGATGGGGGTTTCACCGTTTAGCCAGGATGGTCTCAATCTCCTGACCTCGTGATCCACCCGCCTCAGCCTCCCAAGGGCTGGGATTCCAGGTGGGAGCCACTGCTCCTGGCCTGGGAATAAAACCTTTTGGGTCAATGGGGAAACTTTTGGAAATCTTAGCATGGGAAAAAGTCAACATGGGTACTTCAAACATATCAGGAGGCTGTGTTCAAAGTATTGGTTAGCTGTTCAACCATATTCCCATACTGCTTGCAAGTTTAATAGAAACTAGGAAACAACCACCAGAAGGAGAGATTAGGTGACTCATGGTCACAAGCCCTCTCCCCACACAGGACTGGGGGACAAACACTCAGCAACTCAGAATTACTTGGGGGTAAAAGCCCTGACAGCCCTGACCAACAGCAGCAACCCGCTCAGTTCCCCTTCCAGGCTGTGGAAGCTTTATCTTTACTTGCTCAATAAACTGCATTGCTGCTCACTCTCTCGGTTCGTGACCTCTTGTTTGGAGCTGGAACACTCACCGTTGGGTTAAGGCTCTCTGCTCGATTCTTTGAGCAAGGGAAGCTAAGAACCTGAGCCTGGAGCCCAAGCTGCAAATCCGGTTATGGTGTGATCTTAGCTCACTGAAACCTCGGCCTCCCTGGTTCAAGCAGTTCTCCTGCCTCAGCCTCCCTAGTAGCTGTGATTTCAGTCTCGGGCCACCAAACCAGGCTTATTTTTCTATTTTTGGCCGGACGTGGTGGCTCACGCCTGTAATCCAAGCACTTTGGAGGCCAAGGCAGGCAGATCACCTGAGGTCGGGAGTTCAAGACCAGCCTGACCAACATGGTGAAACCCCATCTTTAAAATAAAAAAAACAAAATAAAATAATTTTCTATTTTTAGTAGAGACTGGGTTTCACCTTGTTGGCCAGGCTGATCTCAAACTCTGGACCTCAGGTGATCCGCCCTTCTCAGCCTCCCAAAATGCTGGGATTATAGGCATGAGCCACCACTCCTGTCAGGATGGATATTTTTAGTGACTGACAGAAATCCCACGTTAGTTTCCAGACCTATGAACTAAGAGCCATTGTGGTAGAGAAGCCACGTAGAAGTCCCTAAAACTGCCTCAAGCCCTGCCAAGATAGTAAACCAGAAGCAGTACCACATCCTAGGCAGAATGGTAGTGAGTGCCACTTTCAAAGATTTAAATGTGGTGTTATCCATCACATCTCCATTTATTTCACCAGTTAGGTAAGTCCTTGACAAAATCAGATGGATTATGTCAGGTGACAGTGGACTAACTTCACTTAATTATGCAAGCATAACTCTGATCTCAACTGCTTTGCTGGATGTGGAATTTTTCTTTTCTTTTTTTTTTTTTTTTTGAGACAGGGTCTCATTCTCACCCAGGGTAGAGTGTGGTAGTGTGATCTTGGCTCACTGCAGCCTTGACTTTCTGGGCTCAGATGATCCTCCCACCTCAGCTCTCCTGAATAGCTGTGACTACAGGCGCATGCTCAGTTAATTTTTTGTATTTTTTTGTAGAGACAGGGTTTCGCCATGTTGCCCAAGCTGGTCTTGAACTCCTGGGCTCAAGTGATCCACCCACCTCAGCCTCCCAAAATGCTGAGATTACAGATCTGGCCTTGGATGTGGAATCTTTACTGGACAAGATCAACATAGCCTTTGGCACTTATTTTGCACCTCTTATCTGGCAAATGCATTCTTGTCAGTCTTCATCTGGAAGAAGGATCAGAGACTTTCCTTGGTGCAGGCAGCAATTAACATTCAAGGTCTTACTCTATGATGGGGTTC